ACTTGCGAGCCCAATAATCCATTATTCGGTGAAAAATCATTTTTATTTCCTACAAATTCCTTCACGTTCAATGGTTGATCCCGTTTTTTTTTTTCCTTTCTTTTCTTTTAAAAATTTCACTTCACCCAATGAACACATGTACAATTATTACAACCGGATCAACCATCGAATCATATTCGATTGATAAATTTAAGCTTGTCTTGCACTTTTGCTATTGCCTTCTAATAAGGCGGCCGTTTCAACAAAGAATTTTTACTATACAGCCGCACAGGCCTCGGAACGAGGGTGGCGGTGGTGGTGGTGGCAGGCATAAGAAGCGTATAAGGCAACCGCATAACACGAGAGAAAGGCAAAGGCAGTTGGCCGTTGGCCACGGCGAGTATATTATGCCAACGCAAGGTGTCCAATACAGGGCGCCGCACAATATTCAAGATGAATCGTTGCTGGATATGGTGATGACTGGATACGGCGCGCCACGGCCACCTAGGCCGAACAGTATCGAGCTTAGACGAAGTTATCCGCCCGAGGAGCAACACCTCTACAGCCCTCCGTCTTCTGATCATTATAGGTAAAAAATTTTCCTCTAACGTCACAAATCTTGTATTTATCTTAATACAAAGTGTAGATTAGTAATATATATATATATTTTTTTTCTCTCTCTTTGCGAACAGGGTGGCAAATTTCGTGGCTCAGGGTTATGAAGAGAACTTGTACGGATCGCATTATGGCACGGGGCAAGGGCAAGCAGGTAGCGAAACGTACCAGAGCCCTGGTGGTCAAAGCACCCCGAGCAGGGGTGGTCGATCACGGCCATCGCAACCACCTCCAGCCCCTCCGAGCAACACTTCTAGCAATTCTACGCCCACCGTAGCCTCCGCCAACAACACTCCAACGCGGGGAAGATCAATGAGTACCGGTAGAGACACCCTTCCACCACCACCTCCCCCTCCTGGTGAAACTATGTCTCCTCCTCCTATGAATGGTAATCTCGGTGGTCACGGTTATATAACATTTATTAGATTTCAACGTGAAATCTATATACGATGTGTCTAACTAATTAATTGTATTTCAGGTTCAATACCGTCGCATCTACTGAATAGAAATGGAAGCCGTTCGAACAGCCCATTGCCCAGTCATCACTCCACGCCCACCCCGCCAAATCATTCGACGCAAATAGGAACGGATGAAACTGACCCCGCTCCCCAAGACTTGCCACCTCCACCTCCCACCCCCGACCCCACACCCCCTAGACCTATCTCTCCGCCCTGTAATATTCCACCCCCACCCCCACCACCTCCGCCACCGCCTGTCGCCAACGGACCCTCGCCCCCGCTCCCATTGACCAACGGCGATATCGCTAAAATGATAGCGACCAATCCACCCAAGTTGAAACCTCTGAAACCCTTGAAAAATATCGTGGACGGGCAATTGAGGAAGCCCGTCAACCCAAACATCCCTCTTGTCGATCCGCGGAACGATCTACTTAAAGCAATTAGAGATGGTAATTATCCTATCATTTGATTTATTGAAATTAATCCTTTGCCTGCTTATTCGATGCAATAGAAGGTTGGATGGGAATAGATGCAATCTATTTTAAATAATTTATTTAAACGTTCTTTTTTTGATTTAATTCAAATTTATTAAGGATCGTGTTTTTGATCAAATTTTTAAATTTTTTTGTTCAACTTAAATTATGTAATTTCAATATTAATAGAATTAAAGAATCTGTTTATTTTTCCAGGGATAAAATTACGTAAAGTAGAGAAGATCGAGCAAAAGGAAGTGGAGCGCGTGAACGCGTTGAACGACGTTGCATCCATATTGGCGCGGCGAGTTGCTGTAGAGTTTAGCGACAGTGACTCGGCATCGGAGAGCGAATGCGACAGTGAAGGATGGGGCGAGCAGGAAACGAATCTCGCGTGACCCAACTCTCTTCCATCTACTGCCACTGCCTCCTAGAGAAATGGCTGACGATTCTTTCGTTTCGTTCATTTTCAACGAAAGTTCGACTTCTGTTGTTGTTGCTCGTCGCACAAGCCACGCACTTTGTTCGCGTATAAAAAAGGAATAGAAATAATTTGATTTCAAGTTGGCGTGCATCGAAGAGACATCAGATTCGAAAATAGAAACGAAACGAACGAATTTCGTTTCTCGATTGTTTATGTTGAGTTTTGTTAACTTACAGAGAGCATATAAGCGCGAATTATTTTAAATAGTATCATTAAAAGTATAAGCATAGTATTGTAAGAATAATTATTTTTATTATGCACCATTTTATTACCTTTAACAGGGTTTACTTTTTTTTTTTTTTTGTTTATCAAAGAATATTTAATAACTCCTTTTTTTTTTTGTATAAAGTAAATAAAAAGATTAATTGTTTTTCATGTTAATTACAAGGCTCAATTTTATATATATATATTTATCTGAAGAGTATGATATTCTAAACATTTAGCTTTTCTTAGACGATTCTAGGAATCGTCAGCCAGAGATCTTTTATTTATTGAGAGAGTCTATGAGAAGTGAATGTAACGGAAGTCTAAGTTCTATGTAAATTTAGAATATTTTTGAGGAGCTATATATTACTTATTTTTTTTTTTTTTTCTTTATTGACAGACGCTTCCAATTTGTTTCATTGTTAACAAATAAAAGTATAAAATTTTACTGAAATATATATAATTGCATGTTTTTTTCGATTTTCCGATTTCTAAGCAGAATTCAACGAACGTATGACAGATTATCTAGAGTAGTAAAAAAAGACACGTAAATAACAAAAAGTACGCACATGAAATCAGGCGTCGATTTCCTATTATTGCTCGATGTCGAACATAGAGTGATTTCTTTTCGACACATTCCATGATAATGTTAATATCACGTAACAGAATAAATTTGATTGTTATTCATATTCGATCGTCCATTGTTATGATGACGATATATATATATATATATATCTTTAGTTAAAAAAGTCGACTGCTCCATATATGTTATAATATATTGTATGTGACAGTGCATATTGTACGTGAACTAAACCAAACTCAGAGTTAATATTTTTGTTCTTCTTTTCGTGTATAACTCTGTACAATACCTGTATCTTAAATGTTTTTGTATGCTTGTCAACTATATACTAGATGGGTATATGTATGTGTGCTCTATTACAACGAGAGTAATAAACAAGAGTTTTCCAATTTTTTCTACGTTTTCAAGTGATCTTCCATGTCGCAACCATGATAAGGGGCGATATCGTGGGAAATGGAATATTCTTTTTATCAGCGAAGTGTCGAAAACCAAAATACTCCACTTTACTTATAAGATGTAAGGACAATGTAATTACCGAATGAGTGAGAGGATTCATATTTTTTAGTATTTAGCGGGAGAATATACTATACTATACTATAGGGGAATATACTACTGTTGAGAATTATAATGAGAATTACAGTTGCCAATTTTAAGCATAAAAGAAAAAAAATGATTGTGATTTATTTTGCATCGATGTTGATAAAATACGATGATTATTGATAAGATATGATATATATGTATACATAAACGATCTATATATATATATATATACATATATACTTATTGATCATTAAGATTATTGTATAATCTTATGCGCTCGAACGATGACAAATGTTCAGGAAATTTGTTTTTAACCCGTTTAACTCGTTTCTGAACTCGTTACCTAAATATTTAATGAAGCAAGAGGAGTCTTAGTTGCGTAAGAAAGAAAATGAAGTTAGAAAGAACCTCTTGTTGGTTGGTTAGTTGATTGAATTAGCAGTTTTTTCTTTTATTAATTACAAAAAATGTTCGATTGATTCGAACCGCGCGAAAAGTAATTTATATTTAATAATTTTCGCTGACTATTAGGGAAGCAGCGTTTTCTTGTATAAAATTTGCGAGGTTAAGGAATTAGGTTAAAACTGGGTCGCTCCATGATGTAGCATACGATTCACCGGCAACGACAAATGTAAATTCATATTATTTTAAAATATAGTCAAAAAAAAAAACGCTACTATATAATAATAATAATTATTATTATTATTATCACATAAAAAGTTGATCAGTCTCGTCTCTACTATGTTTATACATACTATATATATATATATATACATATACATACAAAGATAATATAATTCGCAGTATAAATTCGTTAGATATAAGACTAATTAGCCGTACGTATATAAGTACTTTTAGCTACTTTGCCAACTACAACACAGTATTTATGGAAAAATTTTTTTTGTAATACGACGAAACGATGAGAACAAACTGTTTCGCCTGTAAGCTTAAATATCGTGCAACTTTGTATGAATGTATATTATATCGTCAAACGTGCTTTCCACGATGATTGCGTACTAAACTATCTACGAAGCTGTTGTACCTAAATAAGACGGTTATTCCAAAGCTTAATTAAGAGAACTATTCTTATCTTTATTGGACGACAAAAGAAGATATCGAAATCATATTATTTTTTTTTTTATTTCTATTTACAAACCTCATACTCGCTCATCATTTTTTTGAAATTTTCTGCAGGTGCAAAATAAATATAAGTCTTTTTCTCTATGATACTTGATAATCGATTAAATGATAGATAATAAATTTTCAATAACAATAAATAAGAACGTTAGTTTGCGTGCTCTAAATCCATTGCAATAAAAATGATTTCATTCGTCGTATACGAAAAATCAATATGACGGAGTCTCAATCATAATACCCTATGATGGTTACAAATGTACGACGGTATTATTAATAATAATAAATTTGTAGCAAATCTGTACAGAGCCAAATAAATCAAAAACTTTCATAAATCATCGAAGAATTATCTATTATATTGCTTATTTTATTATCTACACATCAAAACGGGAGAAGATGCTAGAGAATTTTTCAAATTATATTAAATTTTCAAATAAAATTATATTTTATTTCAATTTATTTTTAATTTTAAAATACATATTTTTAAAATATGATTTTCTCGTTCAAATTTTATTCGAAACATTTTAATATTATGAAAAATAAGTAATATTTTTTAAATGTAAAGTTATTGAGATACTCGATCTCTTCAAACTTATATATTTTCAAAAATTATATTTGTTATACTTTTTTTCTTTTATACATTCATTTTTCTAAGTCATATTTTTAGAAATTGTAGAAAAAAATATAAAAATTATATACCATATATATGAAAATAAGAAATATATTTAAAATATAAATTTATAGATAAAATATATATAAAACTATATTATAGATTCTTTGCAACATATATGGAATTAATCATCGCCATCTCTTGAGTTATCACATTTCTTTAAACACATATCTTTTCATCATTATTATTATAATCGAAAGATGGGATTAATCTGTAATTCTTATTCTATTTTATCCTATCTTTGAAGAAATATCTTTGACATTCGAATGATAGCGCTGACGATCTTATCTCTTATCTTATCTCTATTCTTCTTTTACTATTTTCTATACTTTTTTATAACTTTCATTTGCGACACTCTGGAGATGGCGCTGATTTCAATATTTTTATCCTATCTCTGTCCTTCTCTCATTATTTTTTGTTCTCTATATTTACGCGCGTAATAGGCAAGATACAAAATGTCAATTCAACACACACATTTTATCACTTTTTTTTTTATAAAACTACATGTTTCTTAATCTTTGTGCAAACTCTTAGAGATATTATATTTTCTCTTTACAATATCTATACGAAATACTTTCATGAACGTTCACAAGATATATAATAAAATATTTATTCTGTTTCTTATTTATCAATTATTTTAATATAATTTTATATTGAAATTTAATTTTCAACTATTACTAATTTTATAGTTTTTTTCTATGAATCAAAAAATGCATTAAACATTAGATTTTTTTCTTGTAATTTAATCTCGTAATTTAATTGTAATTTTAATTAACCAATTAGTTAAATTACAATGAAAGGAAATTTCTGAGAAGTAACAAAATAAATTTTAAATTAAATCTTTATTTTTTACACAACATCATTTTATAATATAATTAAAAATCGAATTTGTTGATTAATCATGACATGAGAAATTTACCAAAAACAAGTGGTATAATCAAAATTTGCATAAAAAAATTAATCTAGAAATTGTAATATATAATTTGCAATTAATAAAACCAGTAAATAATATTTTAACAATAACTTAAGTAATAATATATTGTAGATAAATACAATAAATATCTAGTATCTATATTGTTAAATATATTTTAGTCGTAGATCGGGTATATTCAAAAGTTTCCACCGTACGAATAAGTAATTTTTATTGATCCTCTATGTTTCAAAGTATTTTCCTTTTTATCAATTATATAAATGTAACAGTCATTATCACAAAATCTCGTGAAACATAGTGACAGGCAGGTATAATAAAATTAACATTTTATTTGAAAAATTGAGACATACATACAGATAACGCGAAAACAATGATAGCACATTGGTAGCACCGATAAATAGACAGACGTTGAAACGATAACATTTAAATTCAGCAACACGAGCTAATTGCTCGCTCGATCAAGTAGTTTGCTGTTAACGGCAAGAAAAATGTATAGGAAATCTATTAAAAAGAAATCTCACCAACTTTCTCCATATTATTATATATTTAGCTGCAACAGCTTTTTGATAAATAGTTTGAAGCACTTTTTCTCGCATTCGTTACATTTTATTTTTTTCTTTCTTTCTCTTTTTCTTTATGAAAGGCAAAGAATCAGATGAACAAGAGCATTGCCCCTGTCAATCGTTACGACATATATTTAGATTGGAAAGATTATATATAAATATGAATATCGATCTGTGATTCAAATTTTTTTAGATTTTTCATAAAAAGACAAGAACAATTTAGTTCGTTGATCATTCGATCATCATCTCTTTGTTCTTTTTTGTCATTTTTTAATCATCGTCTCCTTATTACATTATATTAGAAAATTGTCACGTACAGAACGCGATGAGTAAAATAGATTTGTTTTTTTACATAATAAATAATGAATTTTTAAATATAATACGTGTATAGTCAAAATAATCGCATTCGCAACATGTCGTAATATAGACAGATAAAAGGAACTATCAAAAATTTAGTGGACTAACTTTCATGACACTAACGTATTTTTAAATTTTTAGCCATCACATTGTACTTTAAATCGATTAAATTGTTTCATTTATAATTGTACATATATTATGCTCTCTCGATACTAACCAAAATATATAAAAGATTATTTGATGTGAATTATTCATATACAGTCTCATTTGGTTAATATCAGTGAACTTTAATTTTAAAATAACTTAGCATAATGAAAAGAATACTAAAAAAGTATTCAAGGCAGTATTACTTTTATGTTTATAATTTTCTTATATAAACATAAACCTTAACATTTTTGGTTTTGCAAATTAAAAAATAAAAATATTTCTTCCTACCATAAACTTTCATATAAAATAAAATCACAACCAAAAAATTTATTTTTATATAGAAATATTTTAAGAAGTTTATATCATTCAAGTTGTTGATATTTAAAAAAAATATTCTTTTTAAATTATTCAAATTTAATTTTCTTTTACATTGAAATATATAAAGTAAAAATTGACATTTATCAGTCAATATTGAGATACATTATAAACTATAAATCAGAAAGTGTAATACCTCAGTCATTATTTTCTTCATTCTTCAAAAAAAATTATTAAATTAATTTCATTTTAATTTCTATTTATTCCATTAAAAACATTTTAACATACAATAGCAAATAAAATTTTCTCTTCCTATTAATATCTTTCTTTTTAAATCTGATAATTATATAATATTAAAAAACATTACTCATTTTTATTGCTATATTTCAAACTATATTAGATATATAAATATATATGTATATATTATAGTTTCTTAGTAATTTAGTAATTCTATAAATATACATATTAAATTTATTACATATACAGGGTGAACATATGTTTCTATGAATAATTATTATTGCAGAATATGTACTATTTTATATTGTACTTTATACAAGTATCTGAAAAAGCATTATATCTTATAAAAATGTGAATAAGTACTTCAATTTTATATATATTTGTTGCAAATTTTTACTTGTAATTATTATTATTATTAATGAGGTTTGTCTTTTGATTTAATTTAAACATTGTATAATTATATATTAATATTAAAATGAATATATATATGAATAAACTAGTTTTATTTTATATAAGTATATAGCATCTACATTATTTTAATTAGAATAATGTAAGCTAATAATGTAATAAATATCTATTAATGATATTTTATCAAAAGTAGAGTACCTAGTTGTCTCTTTTGTTATTAAAAATACTTGAAAATATATAAGGCAAGAGTTGAATAATTTTAATAAGATAATTTTAATATCTGAAATGTAACTTTATTCAAATATTATTATTTTTATATTTATTCTTCTAAAATCAAAATTATTAATATTTAATCAAATTGAATGATATTATTCTTTTATAAAATTAAATATTTATAAAATATTTTGCAATTGTTGTATGCTTCCTTATAAATTTAATTAAATTAAATTTAAATTAAATTAGCTACAATATCATAATAGTTAAATTATATCAATTAACAATATTATCTAAATAATGATATCTAATATTTATTAAAAAGCTTAATGAAATGAAAAAAACAACATACATATACATATAATAAATTGTTAATTTTATCATAAATAAAATATAACTAACTATATACAAAATGATTGAAAAAAAGATTAATATCATCGATTATTTTAAAGTGAAAAATAGTTTTCAAAAAAATTTACATTGCTATATAAAACTCTTTAACTTCAGTTTCTTATAAGAATAGTATCATCTTATTAAAGAGATAATTAGGTATTTCACTTCTGATCAAATATTATAATATTTAACATTCGTATAAATATTCTATTCCAACTTGAATGAAATATATTTCTTGAAATATTATGAATTATATATATATATATAATCTAAAGAATGAAATTCATTCTTATTTTTAACATAGATAAATATAAATATAATAAATGTAACTTTACATTATACAAAATGACAATAATTTTTAGTTAAGATATAAGACATAATTATAAAAATATTATTTATGAAATTTTATCAAATATTTTTGAAAATGTTTTATGCAAAGATATTACAAAAAATTTTATTATTGGCACTAGAAATTATTTTTAAAATCTTTTTTTTGCTTGAGATTATAAATAGAGCAAAATAGATGTTGATTTAGTTATTCACATATTCATTGGATCTAATCAATAGAACAATTTACAAGTGCCTTTTATATAAATTAATAATTTTATCGATGGAATTTAAATTTTATTCTTAATCAAAACATGTGTGAATTTTTATTTTATCATTGGCACTGTTATTATTTCCCCTGGTTATTAACTTTTTTTAATTTATTGAGTTTATTTGCAAAATTAGATATTTAATGAATAATTGAAAATTATAATAAAGATAATTCTAGTAATTTTTCTAGTAATATATTAATTATTTTAAATAAATATCTAAGATTTTTATAAGAAATCATTTTTTATTTTCATTTCATTATTTCAAGTATCAATTTGATTGAAAGAAAAAAAGAAAGAAAGAAAATATTATTTTTTTGCCACAAAGTTAGTCCACTAGATCAAGATTCTTAGAATACTTCTTTTCTGTAAAACTTCGTTTCTATTGCCATCGCGGTCCGCACTAGTTATTTTCTTAATTTCAGGGATTATTATGGTCTACGCTTTTGGCACAAAGATCGTGTCTGTGGAAACGATATAATAATTAGATTTGAGCTCGAGACGATTACTCGGTAGAAATTCTACTTTCAGGGACACCAGTCACTAGACAGGTTTTACAGACTTCAAAACTTTGGACTTTAGGAAAGATTTCCATGAGGAGTTGTTTAATTGTGGAAACCTTCACAATCTATATTTGTTTTTTTTTTTTTGTTGTCGATACATTCAGGCTGACTCGAGATGATATGTTCGAAAAAATTTCATTTCGAAATATGATCAAGATAGTCTGAGAGCATCGCAGAGATTTAATCTTTATATATAATATATACGATAAAATTCAAAAAATACAACCATAACTACGTTAAATCGAACGAAAGGGAGGACAACAAGATACTTTTCAATATTACTTTCAAAAACGATGTGTCGAACGAGGAGCGTTTCTCGAACAAATTCTTTTTTTATTTAATCAAATTAGCAGCAATTACTCGATAAATATAATTTTCGAAGAAAAAAATCAAAAGATTGCAGACATTAACAAGCTGCAAATACAATTTAGATTTTGTATAATACTTTTTCGTAGAATCTTGATGAAATAAAAAAAAAATTTTGAATCTTCTAAAAGTAATTTGATTTGATACCGAAAAGTTTGCTCATTGATTCGTTCGACGATCGAATATTAAGTTAATAAACATTTGAAAGAGTAACAACCAAATCGAGGAGATTTTTTTTATTATATTTTTTTTCAATCTATCGAAGCAATTAGAGAGAGATACCTAAGAATTCACGAACAAGAATCGTGAACATAAAAATCGATACAGTTACGTTAGATTACGAAGGGAACACGTTCGTTAAATGTCCATAAAAATTAAATATGCTTGTCGATCGACGATAATTCATTCCGAACATTGTACGTAAATCACGATGTTCACTCGAAACGTCGAAACGACACGCAAACTAACATTTCCAACGACTCTAACGTGTACCTGACAAATTTTTATCATATAAACTATAAATACACAATTAGATCTATATCTGAAAACTGAATCAAGGCGATCAGTGTTTGGCAACGTACAGTCTAATTTGTCTATAGTATTTTGTTCGTTGCTCCACACGAACTGTCATGGGATATCAACCATTTTCCTCGACAACCATTTTCCTCGATTTGATAAATCATTTTCTTTTCTGAAAGACCACTCTGATCGGTATCTTTTCTCTCTCTCTCTCTCTCTCTTTGAAAGATGACTCACTTTCCTCTCAATTTCCTATCAAATTCTAAAAAGCTTCCTTCAGCTGTTTCGTCCACAGTTTCCCAACTGTCGTAAACGTGCACACCCCAATGCACACCCCCTCGTCATTTCGCGCCTATCTCGTAGCTTGCGGATTAGATTATTCTTTCACTAATTAATTCAGTAAAAAAAAAATCCGAGTTTAAGCGATTAACATTAAGTAGCTGTACCCGGCTCGGAGAGCTTCATTCCTCCTCGACGCTAATATCAACGGTTCTAACCCTAGATGAATCTGTGGGAAGCAGCTGAAGGCGCTCAGGCTCGACGCCGAGCATTATGATGCACATGAAACTCTTCCCGGACGCCTGGTCTCTCGGGTAGATGGTGACTGGGGCGAATTTATCCACGGTACCGTCCACGTACGCGCGCAGCTTCCTATAAACTTGGGGGAAGTGCCTCCTAAGCGACACGCCCCTCAATTTCAACTGCCTCTGTATGTTGTTGAAGCTGATCTCCCGTATCCGCCTCGGCGTGTTCTGCCCGTTGTTACCCGGAAGCGAGGTGAGCACCAACATCTCCGGCGACTCCATCTCTCGCGTAATGTTGCACGGAGACGTCGACTGTTGTCTACCCTGCGGCGAGGCGGACGAGGAGGACGTGTGGTGTCGGTTGGCCGTGTCCAAGTGGATCTTGGCGCATCTGGACACCAACTGGCGTTCCCACTTCACGGCCCCGCTGGTCGGCACCTCGCTCACCACGCATACGGCCACGTACAGCACCAGCCTCGTCTCGGGATTGTACGATTTGCAAAGTCTGATCACCTCGGCGTACAGCTCGGCACCCATCTCCCGGGCCAACAGATCCGACCACCGGACATAGGTCGGCTCCCCGAGGTCCACGAAACCGTTCGCGATGAATTTTTCCGCCGCCTCGGGGCTCGAGAAGAAACACTTGACGGCGCCCCGCCCGTGGAACGCGTAGCCGCGCTTCGCAAGCGCCGAGATGTGCTTAAGCGTGACCGGATCCTCCTTCGCGGAGGACAACACCTGCTTGCACAGGCTTCCGGCCCGAGAGTGCAAACAGGTTCTCCTGTGGCGTTGCCAGTGCGCCCTTCTGCACTCCCTCGAACAATAGAGGCAGGTACAGTTGTGACAGCTCTTGTACGTCTTCTTCGCCTCGGCCAGCGTCGCTGTGTTGCTGCACTTGTTGTTCCGGCAACGGATCACCTTTTCGGCCATGTTGCACGCCCCCACCACCAACCCGTTCGTTGGTGGGGGCTCTTGGTTGTTGTCGAACGACACTCTTCGATGGGCCAACGGACCTCTCGTTTGTGCGCTCGTCGATTGCGTTGCTCTCAACTGTGTCTCGCTGCCCTCGCTTTTCCGCCGCACGGCGACCTCGCCCGTGTAATATGAGCCACGCTCCTCCGATGTTCCTTGCACGTCCATCACGCTCTTAGCGGACTCTGCGACATTTGCCAACAATGTTTGGATATCATCAGAGAGTGAGAAAGTTCGAGTTTTTTTTTTTCGCGCTTGGACAGAAGAGATCGTATCTGGCTTCTCGTTTGGGAGGAATGATACGAGTGGAGTTAATTGATTCATTTTCTTTTTTTTTTTTTAGATCCGTTCCTATTTCTTTATAACAATAAAGAATATATGCTTTGAAATTGGTAATTAAAGAATTGCTAATTTTATCGGATTAATCTATTATTATTATTGTGTGTTTTGAAAAAAAATTAATTTTCATTTCCCTCGCGATAAGAAAAACAGAGCTTTAATCGATTAAAAGGGAAATCTTGTTGTATTATCTAATGGAAAAATTGAAAATGATTGATTCTTTTTATTAAGCTTCTTTTAATTCATATTCTTACAACAACGAAATATTCCGTGTTATTTTATTTGATCGGCAAGAATTATTTTCCTCATATTTTCGTCCACAAACGATAACGGTACGATCGTTTAATTAATATATTCGAAGCGGAATGAGAACGTGATACTGTAAGCGATGTCGTGTGTATATGAAATGAACATGGTTACCATAACCTCTTCTTCTACAACTTGTGGTGTTAGAATCGTTAGAGTGTCAAGGATTCGACAATTCGATCAGGCGTTTGTGTCGAATTTGCATGGTTTGCAAGTCAATTGATGTTACATATGCTTGTTTGTTTGTAAAAAAAAAAAGAAAAATAACGATCAATTATCCACCGAGTGCCTTGATTAAAGAAAAAAAAGGAAGCTCTCGTAAATGCAATGAACGAAAGAAAGAAAGAAAAGAAAGGTTAGAACTTAACGTTAACTGAAAAAGAATAAGAATAAAAGTAAAAAAAAGAAAAAAAAAAGGAAAGATGTTGTAAAAGAATCGAAAGCAAAAAATCTTGAAAAAGATCTCTCTTACGAGTTTCATATATATTTTAAAGACTCGCGTCTTCTGCATTATTGGTGGTTGTCGTCATAAATGTAATTAGCTGTCCGGGTCCCACACATTGGCTAGTTTTCAGCACCGATAAATTCGTCTCAGATCGATAAGCCTCGCATCGAGACGTCTGAATTCAGGGGAGGCGAGATATTACAATTCCGCCTCCCTGAGCTTTAGACGCCATTTTTTCTCTGCAAAGGTGTAAAACAACATAAGTGCAACGGAAAATAAAAATGAAATGGGAGAGAGATGTCGCGCGTTTCGCATTTTCCTCGTTGCCCGGCGACTTGCTTCTCTTTCTTGTTCGTCTACTTCTTTTTTTTTTTTTTTTTTCAGTTTTTCTCCCTTCGTCATCGATCGTAGTTGACGATAAGACGATAAGGTATGATCTCGAGGCAAAGAAAAAGACTACGAAAAGAGAGAACGATGCAACGGGAAATAATAAATTGATGATCAATTATGATCAATTATCCCGATACATCGTATCTCGTTTCAAATGGCGTTTCAAAGCATTCTTATTAATAATAATTATATATAAATATATTTTTCTTTTTCTTATCCACAATATCAATATATTTTATTACAGTAATTGTTAAAGTTATAAATATATATATTGAGTGAAAAAATACGAATGAATTTCAAATATTTATTTTAAAGATAATTGAAGACGATAAAAAGAAAAATTTTGTTTAATCGAAATGAATTTTATACGATGCGTTTGTTGATTGATAAAAAATATGCATGAAACGCCAATATTATATTTCTAAATGAGAGAAAAATGAAAGATTATGAAATAATATATATATATATATTATTGTGTATATATATACACAAAGAAGAGAGAAAAAGAGAGAGATAGGATGATGCGTGTGAGGAGTGATGGCGACGAGGCGAAGAGAAACGCAAGCGGAGCGCATAAATTGAGGACGACATACGCACAGTGTAGTTTTACAATTCAATCGTTAACATGTTAAATTTCATATTTCTTAATTAACACTGACTGAAGGCAAAACTGAAAAAGTAACGGAAGAAAAATTTTATTCAGAATTTCTTTTTTCTTTTCATTTATTTTTCCCGAAAAAAAAAAAATTTCATAAATATTTCCAGACGAGAAGTATAAACATGAATCATATACAATGATCCCTTACGAAAAAAAAAAAAAAATCTTGGAAGGAATTTTAAAAGAAAAATTCCGGAATTTATTTATATCCATGAATTATTAATTTCCCTCGCGATATAAATATACCATGCACAATTAAATCCCAACGCGGAATAATGCATTGACAATTTAGCCTTCGAGAAAATTACAATATCGAACTAAAATCCCCGATAGAATAAACTGAAGATGAAACGTGACTTCCTTTTTTGCTCGAAGGAAAAAAAAAACATGAAATTTCACGTTAACGATTATTCTGAAACCATACCGCGCTTGTATATAACATGGATACGCACACGTAAGTATACATACATATACATATATATTCATATAAGGAAAGAAAATGTTAGGTTAGAATTTCTTTTAGCCTCTCTCGAGTCCTCTCTCGAGAGAGGAGCCGCTTCAGAACGAAAACTTACATAGTCCTCCTACCTTGGAGGTCTTGGCGTAGGTCGCTGCAGCTCTTCCCGGCTTTCGCATTAGCCTGGCCGACGTTAGTTCGATGGCGTATGGTGGTGGATGTACCGGTTACGACGGGACCTGGCCCAGGACTCGGGGTACGCGACGCGGATGGCAGGCCAAGGAGGGAGTCAAGGACGTCCTCCAGGGTCGTGGAACCCGGGCTCGGTTTGTTCCGCAGAAGAGCTGCCGTCGCCATCGCCTCGTCCGTATCGCTCTGGCCCGATCCTAATCGGTTTCATGCATGGGGTCAAGAAAGAGTCTGAGACGTCCGCGTCATCCTCTTGGCCTCGATACATTGTCCGTCCGTCTTGTAGTATTATAAGTTTAATACTTTTTTTCTAATCGTATTTAACATTTGTCCAGTCAAGATTAGGTTATGTCTGGTCGTCGTCGAATCGAATTGTAATTTCATCACGTTTTATACTTTTCGTATTATTTCGTTTGGTGTTTGGTGTTTCGTAATGCCATAGAGACGCTTCAAGTAGCTATCGATGATGATAGAGTTAATATATAGAGTTGGACGCATTGGATGTTTAATGAACTTACATGGAAACGTTACGTAGGATTTAACGTTTAGACGTTTTAAAATAACATATTTGAATGATTATTAATTTCTTTTTTTTTTTTTAAGAAGCAACGCTGTAATATAATATTCTTTTGTAGATAGGTTAGGAAAAGATATATAAACACAATACGCATTATAATTGTTCAACGAACCGTATCTTGATTGTAGAAGTGCATGGATCCGTAAATTATGCAGTTCGAAGATAGAAAATTTGATTCTGGATTCTTATTTGTATTTACATAAGAAATCGCTTCCTGTCCGTTTGTATCATCTCTGCTGCATCATCTGTGATATAAATACGTCGCAATTTGTAAATTGTATTTGCTTTATACTTTAATTTTATTCAAGGATGTGATGATAAACTTCTTGTTTGACTGATGGTAAATCATTTATCAATTTTCTAATAAAATTATTTTCTTATCAGTGTATTATGACGAGAAGGGCGAGTAAATATTTGTAAGCAATAGCATTATATTACCTGAAAATTTTTTATCACGTTACAACACAAGCATCGTGAAAATCATCGATCGCCACTTGAAGCGTTTTTTTTGCCAAAAGCATGTACGCGAAAGGTCGAAGAACCTCTTAACCAACCATCAAAGTTCTAGGGTGCTCGTCACGCGTTTCTCATTAGGGTATTTGTTACAGATCCTTTCATTTTTTCCTCTTTCTGATATAATTACAAAGAAATCGTTTCATTCCTCGTACGTATCAAATCTCAATTTGACGAACATTGCTCATTTTTAACCAACACGTACAAATCTATAACAATTTCGATACCGCAATATATGTATTACGTGAATGTTCTTACCTCGATCGAGTAGAAGAAAAGCCACAGCACGTTTTGAATGTTCTTAAAACATTGTCAATCGTTACGAAGATTTTTTGAGGTATTTCTCTCGTAACGAGCACCCATTTCCCTCGTCTCAGTGAAAGTTTCGTGTTAAATTGACCTTGGACTCAAGAGTGCACACATTCTTCTCGTAAAAATCAACGAAAGAAAAATAAGAAAGAATGAATCGATCGAAACGTTCGATGAGACGTTCCTCTATTAGTTTCTACAATAACCTGCAAGATGGCGGTACCTCCCGAACTTCCTCGTATATACACTTGGTTTCGTTTTTTTAATCGGTTGTTCGCAGAGCTGCCATTGGTAAAATCTGACCAATGGGTAAGAATGGGGGAAATTGAGAAAAAGGAGGTAAATAACGGGCGTCCTATTTGCATTATACTATCAAAAATAAAGCAGAGATCTCATCAAAATAATACGATAAAACACCCATTATTCTTTCACTTTCATTTCCAAGTTTACCACTACTACTTTCTCCCACTCGTTCATTGGTCAGACTTTTTCCCGACAACCTTAATTGTGTGCGAGGAGGAAGAGAATACGACTAATTGACAACGAAAGAAAAAAAAAAGAAAAGAAAAGAAATGAAAGAAAAAAGACTCGAAAGGAAAGAAAGAGAAGAGAAGGGAAGGAGAGGTATATAACGGACGCCCTCGATTTTTCTTCACCTCTCATCTACTTCTCTACGTTTCTACGTGTATTTCTACGTTGCACGCTTCTACACAACTATCAGATACTCGTACATACTAGCCTAATTGCGGCGTTTGTGTGAGCACTTTTGCTCGCGAAAGTATAGAAGGCAGAAACGAAGCCAAAAAAAAGTGATGTTCTTCTCTTGTTGAACCTTTTTCAACGTTTACATGTGAGCGCCGTATGCACGTATACACACACGCAAACGCACACACAGAGACACTTTTATTTCCCCGCCGGAAGAGACGGCGGAATAGTTTTATTGTTACACGCTCTATTTCCGGCTGAAAATATATCAGAGGCTTACGCATGCGTGCCTTGTGTATGTATGCACACGTACACGTGGGCACGACTCGTTCTCGGACATATAGCGTTATATGCAAGAACAACACAACAAGCGGAGGCGAATAAAAATATGTGTATGCGTGACAAATGAAAAAGAAAAGAAAAGAAAAGAAGGAAATAAAAATGAAAGAGACGAAACGAAACGAAACGAAACGAAATGAACAAACGAAAGAAAGGCAAAAGCAACGACGGCGAAACGAATAACAGCACTTACCGTGACGACACAAGCAGAGCGCGCGTCAATCAAATTATTAATCGATGCCCGGATATACAGGGTGGCAAAAAAAAAGGGAGGCGGGCGAAGAAAGAGAGGATCTAAGATTTTTTCTTTTTGTATATATAATCGAGATGAATAATAGAGGGAAAAAAAAAAAATCATAGAATTCTTTATACATAGGAGACAAAATGAATTCTACCAATATAATATAAAATCTCTCAAGCTTCTTAGATTCTTCTTTTTTTTTTTTTTTTTTTATTACCCTGTATGTATACATACGTAGGTACATATATACTCGACTATATAGAGGTACATAAATATGCGATAAGAGGGGAGACGGAAGATTGATCTCTCTTTAATCACTTGAAATTTCAAATTAGAAGGAAAAGGTAAAAAAGAAGAAAAAAAAAAAGACGAAAAAAGAGGGTAGTTTAAGTGTCGAAGAAAAGAGAGAGAGAGAGAGAGAGAGAGATTAAAGAAGAAATATATGAAGATATACAAATATATATATAAAATATAATCGAACAGAAAAACGTAGGATATAATATAAAGGATGCAACAGCAACAACAACAACAACAACAACAACAACAACAACAACAACAATAACGCAAATAACACAAAGGGTAAATGACAATAATTTATTGCTGTCAAGGGTTTAATTACGTTCTACAAAGAAATGATAAATCGTTGGTGTGTCCGAACAATAAGTACGGAATTGTGTACTTTAAGAAAAGGCAAAAAAAAAAGAAGCACCGGCACGCAGAACCGTCCGGTACCAGAGTTATTTAACGTATATTTAACAGAAAAGAGAACACACACGTAATCGAATCTGCGCGTCACGCGACAAAGCAAAAACGAATGACTCTTCTTCGTGTGACCGACCGATCGATCGATCGATCGATCGCAGTAGCGGCAGCTTTTTAGCTAGAGTACGACTTTAAAAAAAAAAAGGAAAAACAGGAAAAGAAGAAAAACAAGAGATGAGCGCAGAAAACAATCGAAAATAAATACATATATATTTGTTGGTATTTAATACGATCTGACCGACGGTTCTGCGAACACTGCACTCTTAATTAAAGGAATAACAATAATAATAATAATAATAATTATAATAATAATAATAATAATTAATAGTAATAATAATAATAATAATAATAGTAATAATAATAATAATAATAATAATTAATAGTAATAATAATAATAATAATTAATAGTAATAATAATAATAATAATAATATCAACGCGTTTGTAATTAATAATGATGACGGTGTATCGTACGTAAAATTGTTTCTCTCGTATGTATACATATGTACCTATGAGTTTCTATACGTGTCATATATTGAGCTCTCTAGTTATATAGATATATCATGTATACTTGGATAACTTTACAAGTGTAAACATATACATGAAACGCAAAAAAAGGAGAGAGAGAGAAAGAGAAAGAAGAGAAGAGAGAGTGAGAAGAAAAGAAAAAGAAAATAATAATTATTACTAAGTAGAAGTAATGAAAGAGAGTTTACTAATATACTATATATATATATATATATATATATGTATATATATGTATATATATACATATATATATATATATCCGAGCACGGTAGGTTTCGCACAAAAAATTACGGTACAGGTTCAATACAACGGTCAGGGATGGGTATGGTGTGTGTGTGTATGTATGGGCCTATAGTGTCTGTGTCTGTTGAGAGAGCAAAAGAAGTAAGAGAGAAGAGAGAGAGAGAGAGAAATAAAAGAAAAAAAGAGGAACGGTTGATACTCATGGATCAAACGAAGGGAGGGTCCTTCTTCAAAGGGTCTTCCAACGACGAGGGGGCGGTCGTAACAAAGTAACAAAGTTTCATTCTATAAAACTTTTCATGAATAAAAAAAGGAAAAGTAATCTTGGTATAAACGAACGAGGCTTATAAAAAAGTTAACCAGGAGGTCGGTCAACGGGTTTGCAACAGTGTCGAGAGACCACCGTGTGGAATGACGAAAATTATATATTTATAGGCGCGATGTCGACGAGGAATCCGTAAAACGATATTCCTCGATCGTTCCCCATACACGCGAATAATATTTTTTCCCGTCAAATCAATATTGACATCGTATAAATAATTAAAGACTTTTTTTTTTTTTTTTTTTTGATAAAACTTTTCAATTCATCGTCGACACTCGCGAAAGAATTTCAAAGAAAGAAAGAAAACGTTATGTTTAAAAAAAAAAAAAATATACATATATATTGTGTCGATCTCCAAAGGTTCGAATTACTCTCGTGGTGCGATATGTGCTTGAAATTTCATCGCGGAATTACATCGTGGTGTGTTTTTCTCACGTGTGTTTCGGAAATTGATCCAGACCCTCGAGCAACAAGTATAATAATAAAACTTGTAGTTGGACGAGTCGACGAGTACAGCAAGCTGACGAAAACGATAAACGAAAATGAAATAGAAAGAAAGAAATAGAAAGAAAGAAAAAAAGAGGAGGAAGATAAACAGCGGTAATCGATGGTGGGCGTAAAATTCTAATCTCGAAACCGAGATGTTTTTTTTTTTTTAAATTAATGGTACAGAGAGTATAATAATAAACAGACCAGCAGACAGTCGATCGAATCCAACGCGTAACACAAGAGAAATATTGCTCCTCCTTGCTAAATCCGCGAGTCTTCTCTACCCTACACTGACAATGAAAGCACTGCGAGTGAATTTCTTTTTCCCCAACGAGGGGAGTTTAATTATTGCTGTAACAATAAGCGATACAAAATTACAAGCTATCTATTTCTTACATTACAAACCAAGATCAAACCCAAATGAAGTAGCTTTCGACTTCGATATTTCTTCTTGCAAAAAAAAAAAGGGGGGGGGGAAAGCAAAGAGAGAGGGGGAAAAAAAAAGAAATAAAAGGAAAAGGAAAATCTAGCATAATTCGGCGCGAAACGCTGCTCCTTCTGGATCCAATCTTGAATAGTTTTTTTAATCTGCGATGCACCGTGTTTAAAATATTATACGTATATTATTTATATTGAACGGTCTATTTTTATATATCGTGATATATTACAGTTGTCTCGTTGCCTTTCGTCGCGTACGCTGTACAATTTTCAAGTCACGTTTTTCTCGTAAGATAATGGTGCACGATTGAAAACAGACTGAGCGTTGTTCGAGTTTCGAGAGAAAGAAAGAAAAAAAAAAAAAAGAAATCGAAGTACGTGCTTTTTTTTTTTTTTGCGCTACAGATACCAATCGCACTTACGTGATTAAGAGACTAAAAGCTATTCTTACAAATATAACAACGCGAAAAAACTTTTCTCAGAAAAATAATTATATATATATATATATATACGCATACATCTACTTTTTATCAACGTCAAGCAACAACAATCTCGTCTCAACTTTCAATCGATTCCTTGATCGATGGTTCAAACACAGCTAAATCTAACAATATTTGCGTAAAAAAAAAAAAAAAAAAAAAAAAAAATAATCGAACAAACATAATTTTTTAATATCATAATTTCTTTCTTTTTTTTTTTCCGCGTCGTATTAATATTTTTCGAAGTGACGTTCAAAAAATAATTTTCGTGTGAAGAGAAGTATGATGATCGTGAATAAAGTACAAAACGGTGCGAAAGCTGCGTATACAGAGAACGCGATAAAGTATGTGCGAATGTTCGATCGATATACCTTAATTTTTACACCAACGTTGTACACAACTTGGCTCGTAGAAAAATAAAAATTTTTCGCGCCATCCATCACAAGTCGTTTCAAAAATAATTTATTATATTACAAAAAGAAGAAGAAGCGAAATGGCCTCCGTAATACGGATCGAGTTTCACACGTTACATCGATTTCAACAACAATTTGTGCTCGTACAATGTGCACCACGTTCAGTTCAACAATATATAGAAAAATAAATTTGTCTCGCGATCGAAATCGATACTTCTTCTATTTGACGTACACACGTCTACTTTGGTTTTTAACTAAAAAAAAAAAAAAAAAAAAAAGAAAAAAGAAAAAGAAAAGAAAAAAAAAAGAAAACGTTCTTCGAAGCGTGAAGAATAGAGGAAATCGCAAAGATGCGAATACGTTTGAGAGTAATAAGAATTACTTGCGAATAATAATAATAATTTTATCAGACTTTTGCTCTTAAATATATTCGCATCTTGAGATCATGCTCGTGACGGAAGCGAGCAGAATAATCGAGGATTGGAGAACAGCCCGAACAAATGACGTGTGCTGCAATGATCAACGTGGTCTAAGGATGACCACGAGAATTTAGAAATACGTCGGAGGAATCTCTCCTAAAAAGAAGATCGTTCGATGCTTTCTATCAAGAGACAAAACCGCGAGAAGAAATCGTCAACAGGAGGACGGAAACGTGTCAAAGAAATTTTTTAACATTAAATTGCATATATTACGCGTAACGTTTGATATGTTTTATATGATTTGAAAAGATACGTCGAAGAACGAACAAAATTGAATTGATCAATGTTCTTTGAGGATTTTCTAGGCAAAGGAGTTTTTTTTTTTTTTTCATTTTGTAGCTTCCTCCTTGATACAAGATATCTTGGAATGGGAATCGAAAGATTCGAAACCGTTTGGCAAGCTATTTAGAGTAGTTATTCTTGACAATGATGTTGCTAGCGTCGTAAATAAAACGTGAAACTTTTATCGGAAACTATTTTTAAGAAAGCATGATAACAATATTTGTGCTTAAATTTTTTTTTTTTTTTGAAATGAGTAGTAGTATGATTAGAAAAATTACGAATATATTTCACGAAATTCGTATAATCGTATTATCAAGACAAAAATTTTCGTTAAATTTTCGTTACGTATCACAATTATGTACGTATCGTATCTCTTCTCTAAAATAACTTTCCAAACAATTTGCCCAGATCTCTAATCCCAAAACATCACGCGACAAATCTCTTAACTTTCCGCCTTTGCTCGAAAGAACGAGATAAAAATCACGCGCATTCCATCTAATAGTCGTCAAGTAGTCAGCCAGCCTACCAACCACTAGATACGTAATATCGTAACTTCGTTAAACTTCCCTCGAAAAAACGAAGTGAAAAGTCGAAAGGAACAGATCGACAGATCACAAGCAACGTCATGAACCTATAATCTATTTATTCCGAGATAGAACAACGAAGAGTCTTGTTCAAGGTGCTCGATACGTGAATCGTATTCGTCAGCTTAAGCAGGCAGATCGATAGGGGCCCGTTGAGGAATCGTTTGGTGTGATGAAAACGCGACCGAGCAACGTGGCGTACTCTGTTGGCGGAAGTTCGCGACTGTACTACGTGTTTTCTTGTCTGATCTCTTTTGTTTTTTGGCTTTCCGCTAGGCGAGCAGCAACTCACCGCGGTGATGGCGCTGTTGCTGCTGAGATTGTTGTTGATGGTGAAGCTGACGGTGATGATGATGATGATGGTGGTGATAATTGAGTGACGAGGACGGTGATGGGCATAGGCTACCGCCGCCACCTATTTGCTGTTGTTGTTGGTGTTGTTGGGCATCGTCGTGCGTCGGTGTCAAATCCAAGAAGAGGCCGGATGTCGCGGAATCGACGCAGCTGCACGTCTCGGTAGCTGTCGCGTTGCATCCCGGGCAGCAGTCGGTCTCCGTGGCCAAACTCATCGGTGTCTCCGGCGAATCCACAGGTCTCGTGCCAACGAACGAGCTCTCCATCCAACACAGCTTCACGCTCCCTTCGAGGACAAGTTTCATTTCATTAGATGCGTGACTGAAGAAGCCATCGGTGGGGCACGCGTGGTGTGATAGTTACTAGTATACTAGTTTCTATTGGGTGGCTTCTTTTATTGGATCGATCCGCGATTCCCTTCGCGAGAAGCAAAACGTGGTAATATGCGTGAAAAAGACGCGTTATAATTACGATCGATACACGTTCTTCAAATTTCGTTATACAATTATATTATCGGTTACCACGCTTTACATTATGTATATAGACCGATGCTAATTACGTACGAATTTTGTCTGGTCTAGATCGTTCTAATTAAAACCACATATCTCTGATTAGATCGTGTTAGTTAGAAGCTCTAACACGCAGATATTAATCACAGCGCAAACAAAGCTGATCGACACACATATACACGTTATTGACAACCAATACAGTAGTTAGTGTAACATCGTGACGAGGCATTTTCGACATTAATCGAGAATGTTGCACGGAGAATTCGACGAGCCCACTTCATGTTGTTTCTCGATGTTGCGTCACATCATATCGAATCGAACGCATCATGATTTTGCTAAGATATCGCGTGCATCATAGAAGCATATGACATTCCGGGTAGTAAGAGCTGGCCACGTGTGTGTTATCTTCGCTAAAGTGTTTCCGATGTTTGTTTTAATTTAGTCCTAAGGTCGATTGGTAGCGGATAAATTCACTCGTACCGAAAAAAACGGAGACAGAAGAGTGCGTGAAAACTTCAGGGTTGATCTATTTCAGTGGCACGACGGCCATGTCGGTACAAGGCTATCGAAATAGCAACCGGCTACCTGTGTGCGTGTATATGTATGAGTGTAACTTTCGTCGAGACTCGTCGCGACTAAAGATGAAGATGGCGACACATGTCTGGTGGTTTTCGGACGAAACGCGAGAAAAAGATGTCTTCCATTGTGACATCGCTTCTTTTCCATCCTCGTTGACACGAGGTTCGACCTTGATTCACGAATTCGTGGGATGGAAATACGATTTAGTGTCAAGGCTGTCGGCGTATTACGGGAATTTTGTGGCCATGTTGCCGTTTCGTTGATTCGCTTTGATGTCGTGAAGACCGTGCGGGAGAGATCTTTCGTTCGAGAATGATTCTTCACATCGTTTCCTACGTGTATTTATGTATTTTCTGGTATCATTATGAATACCATGGAAGATAATTGCTACGTGATTTTCTCTCTCTCTCTTCTTTTTCAGTCGATGTTACAATCATATGAAGATAGGAATGGTCGGCGAAGGAACGCTTGGAGGAATGAGGGAGGAGGGGAGTGAGGGGACGATAAAGTTTCGAGGATAACGTCCAAGTTGCAAGAATGTTGACGTGTACCCAGCGTGCGGAAGATAATTACTTCGATCACTATCATCATGTTACTTGCTTAAGCTAGTTGCAATGCTAGCAGAATGTGTGTTTACTTAGGACACGGTTTACGTCAAAAAGTCCTGATTTTAAAAATTTTGCATCGTCTCGGTGTGTGGTCTCAACGATAACGTAAGTACTTTTAATTTCAAAACAAATTGTCCTCTCGATTTTTTTTATCCAATTTTATCAAATAATTTCGAAACTTTATCGTCATACTTTATACATTTCGTACCCTAAAATTTTCTACAGCTAACGTTTCACAATTTTTCCACGACTGCTCGAAAAGTCTGCAAGATACTACAGAATTGAGACCGAGTTTGGTCGAAGAGAGATCGACGGTGTGCAACGTGATAAAAACAACATACAAACAGAGATCGTAGCAAAAATGGAATGAAGGGCTCTCGTATATTAAGGAACATTGTGACACCAATGAAAAGATATTGCACTCGCGCGTGAAATCCGGTGCAGCATTCGCAGAATGAATGAGACTGCACGCGTGTATATGCACGTGGAAGAGATACGCTACAGTTTTTTTAAACTGTGTGAAAGGTGATTTCGTTGAATGGACGCGCCGTTGAAAGCAATTTTCGTTAGTAAACACAGGACACGACCAAGAGAGCGAGCAAAGAGAGGAGAGACAACAGCCAAGAGAGTTGCTTTTTCGCTAGCAGTTTTCAGATGCACAGATGTCGAGTGTTATATACGTACATTATATATTAAGTAACGGCAACAACGAACGAGATAATGGAAAATTGATTCAAACAACGATCTGGGAAGTTAGACGAGTAAAAAATATAAATATAAAAGAAGAGAAACCCAGAGACAGACGAAAGAGAGGCGTCTAAAAGGACACGAATAAGATACAGATACAGCAGAGAGAAGAATTCACATGAACAGACATCAGGAAAACTCAAAATTACCTTTGTCGTAGAGAGTAAAAGTAGTGATGGTGTAGTGGTGGTGGTGGTGGTAGGATGGTTTTTTTTTTTGGCAGGGGTTGTTTAGTGCTCACCTCTGGGGCTGGTCGACCTTGCTCCGCCCCTGTCGTCCCAGTCTTCAGGTCGAGGTCGAGGCGACAGCCTGCCACCTCCACCAACCTCCTGACCGCTTTGCACGTAGTGCACAATGGCCGAGGTTACCTCCTTTATCGAGTTCCTTACCTCTAGTTGCTGATTCGTTGTCTGCTGTTGCTGCTGCTGTTGTTGCTGCTGCGGAGAAAGAATTTTCAGAATGTACAGTTTTAAGAATCATTGTAATTGTCGATGAAGCACTCTTTTTGCCAATAACTTTCTAGGAAGGAATGAACGATGGTTGAAATAATTTTCTGGTAGTTAATTAGAAGGATGATCTTTGTTACGCGTATCAAGATCAATCGAGTTGACTCTCTTAATTGAAACGATTCTATAAAAAAATTGTATCGTGTTAATCGAGGTATAAATGAGGTAAGATATAAATGTATGCAGGATTTGATATCGATGAGTATTTATGTATTATATAAAATTAGTTATAGTTCAACGCGACAAATTAATTATTTTTCAAGCACGATGATTATTAATACGATGATTGGAAAATAACGTAATGATCAATAATATCTCATTCACATTCATCAATTATGAAATCTCTTTCGATCGAGATCTCTGAGATTATTACCAATACCATTATTTATGCTCTGTCATCCTTTTTCCGCTGCAAACTCGAAGTTAACGTAAAATTTAATTCAACCAATTCGTTAATCGATTAAATAAATTGTCATTTGAGAATCAGGTGATATATTATTATTTAAAAAACGAGTTTTATTTATTATTTTTTTTTTTGATGTTCAATGAATAAAAAATAACGTGAGATATTAAAAGATCTCGTTGGTAAAGGGTTACAAAGTTTTAATAAAATACAAAACGTGTACATCGTTAGCAAAATTCCAATTAACGGCTATGAGGAAAGATACTTTCAAGGTGTGACTATTTTTCAGTAACGAGAAACTGATTAAAATTTTCTTCAAACTAGGGCAACACTTGGATAGCAGGATTCAAACTATATAGATTCGGATAACGGTCAATTTGTCTCGGGTTATAAAGGCCACGAGACACCAGAAGTAGAGTTTCTGCCAGAAATTTCTAATTATAGAGAAGTTGTTGCATTTGCGTGCTGTCTGCGCAAATTAAAAATAAATTGGACAAAGAGGGAAAAGCGTGAAGGATAAAGAGAAGGTGAGGATCGATCAATCTCCAAGGCCAAATTTTCGAACGTGGAAATCTAATTAATAAATAATAACGTTAAATTGTTTGCACAGCAATGACAACTTTAAAGTAAAGTTAAAGCGATCAATTGAACGATAATTGAAGAGAAATCCAAGTGCTGGCAGAGATATGAATACAAACCTTGTTGGCTGCTTGCAACTGGGGAAGAATACCCTGAGCAAGACGTTCTGCCGGTGTTCGCGGGTTCGTCAGTCGTTCCTGAGAACGCCAGCCCAAGTATGGCTGTCGATGGTTGAACGACGACCTCGCCGAACTCGCTGGCGAACTTCCGGCGCTGTTCAGCAAACTGGTACTCCATCTTGAGAATACAGGTGGCGTGGGACTTGGACTTAGAAGGGCACCTAAACAAATTCAACGTTTCAATATTAATTCGATATTAACTGTAAATTGCAATTCTG